CCTCCCTGCTGTATATCTAGATCAGGCCTGCACAACCTGTGGCCCTCCAGGTGTTTTGGACTTAGAATCATAGAATCATAGAATTGGAAGAGACCTCATGGGCCTTCCAGTCCAATCCCCTGCCAAGAAGCAGAAATATTGCATTCAATATTCAGCTCCCAGAATTACTGACCATGGGACAAGCTGACTAGGGCTTCTGGGAGCTGGTGTCCCAAACACCCAGAGGGCTGCAGGTTGTGCAGGCCTGATCTAGACAGTGATTGCTTCCAAAAAAAGAGGTTCTCCTTGATATTTTGAAGTCCTGACTTTCTGGTTCTAATATCTGAAAGAATCTCCATAAGCAGAAAAAGCCACTGAATGAGTGACAAATCACTAAAGACAATAATTCCGATTGCACTAGGTTACAGATTGTGGTAGATGGGTCTGAAAACGTTTCCCATTAACAGGATAGGATAACAGTAGGCTTGCTTTCCCAAACACTGAAGCTAATCTTTTGTGCCACGGGTCCTCCTTTAGTAGCCAACAAGAACAATTACTAATCTGGCTGGGGGATTATGGGTAGTGTAGTTTGGAAGATTTAGGACTTCTGGTACATCATGAAAGTTTTCCAAACTCTTTTTTCACAGTAGTAAGTCCCAGGGCCCTTCCACACAGCCCTATATCCCAATGAAGAAAATCCCACATTATCGGAGTGTGACCTCAGATAACGCAGGGCCCTTCCACACCACCCCATATTCCAGAATATCAAGGCAGAAAATCCCACAATATCTTCTTGAGCTGGGTTATCTAAGTCCACACTCAGATAATGTGGGATTTTCTGCCTCGATATTCTGGGATATAGGGCTGTGTGGAAGGGCCCCTAGAATTGGCCTTTCTCCCCCAGGCAGTATTTTTAGGATCACAGCTCTCTACAACTTGGAGAGTACCACCATGTCTTGCAATGTATTTTTTATCACATGTGATGTCCTTAGGAAGAATGATACATGAATCCCACTTAGGGCCCATCCACACAGCCCTATATCCCAAAATATCAAGGCAGAAAATCCCACAATATCTGCTTTGAACTGGGTTATCTGAGTCCACACTCAGGTAATGTGGGATTTCCTGCCTTGATATTCTAGGATATTGGGCTGTGTGGATGGGCCCTTAATGAGTTCTCTCATAATATATGGTGAGTGATAAAGATGCCTTTGGGGAGGGGGGGCAAAGACCCTGTGATGAAGATTTTCTTGGCAAAAGATACCTGAACCCTCTCTTCCAGTCCTACTCCAGCATGCAAACATTTACACCATGCTGGCCCTTGGTTCTCACCGAAGGTTTTAATTGCATTGCACTGGATCTTGTAAATATGAGTTGTTGGGGGGGGGGGGTTCTTAATCAGTTGAGTTTCTCTGCTGATTTCCTGTGAACTCTGCTTGGTAGGTAAATGCCCTTATAACTGAAAAAAAGAGGTAACAAATAAATTGTATATGAGAAACAAGGGATTACTTCCCTTTATTCTACCCACAGGACATGGCCCAAATAATTTACCTTCTACCACACAAACAGGATTTACTAGTCAGTAAATCATATTATCCTTCCAAAAAAGCAGAAGAGGGAGAATGGGCGGCCATCTGTCAATAATTCTTGGGGGATTTTGAAAGAATCTCTTAGCTCCAAGTGCTGGGAGATTCCATTGGTCAGGAATGTAACACTCACCACATGGTCTGAAAACTATGGTACCATTCACCTCCTCTTTGTCATCATGCCAAAGCCATGGTAAACTCTAGGAAGTGCCCCCTTCTTTTCATGCTTTACTTATCTTGCCTTTTTGTCTCTAGAAAGCCTTGTCAAACAAGGATTCATGCTGCTGATTTTTTTGGGGGGGGGGGACGGGGGGCGGGGGACTGAGGTCTTTAATTAACTTTCCATCCATTGAGAAACACATCTTTTAAAGTATCTATGCATCCTTTGAAAATCAGGCAAGGGGAACAATGGAGTATCCTCTAATTGGCATGTTCTCTCCTGACTGACAGATTCCCACCTTTGTTCAGAGCTCCTTGCAATTAAAAAAAAAACTTCCAAAGGAAAGTTGAAATTTGCTTCCACCAGACAGCCTGCAGTTCTTCTGCAGAGAAAAAAAAAAAAGACAAAAACCCCACATCCCAAAAGTCTGACGATGTAATGTAGGGTCCTTCCACACAGTCATAACACAAGTGGCTAACTACTGGTCAAAGGAAAATTATTATAGAACGCCAAGTTATCAAACTTTGTGGAGTTTTTTGTTGTTTGCCTTTTTAAATACATCACAACCGTACCCCTGGTTCACTCCTGATATGCTAAATAAATAAGCTGACCCTGGTTTTTCCTGTCTGGAAGTCTCCTGTTTTGGGGTGTTGCTTTTTATCTAACTGTCCTGATTTTAGAGGTTTTTTTTAAATACAGGTAGCCAGATTTTGTTAATTTCCATGCTTTACTCCTTTCTGTTTAAATTGTCCACATGTATGTGGATTTCAATGGCTTCTCTGTGTAGTCTGACATGGTGGTTGTTAGATTGTTTGTGGGAGTTTGTTGTTTGGCTGCCCCCAGTTGGAAGAGCATGAAGGGGAGAGGACAGGGCCCAAGAAGCCCTTCTCCCCCTGCCCTCTTCCGCCGCTGCCAGGAGGCAAGGTGTGGCCAAAGGTCCTCGGCTCCCTTTCTTCCTGATGAATAAATGACCCAAGGCGAGAGGTTGGAGTGCTTAGGATTCCTGGGTGAGCTAATGGGGTCTGCCGGGCGGGAGGGAGGGGCCGAAGGACAAGCTTGGGAGAGGAAGGCGCCCCAACGCCTCCCAGCTTGCCTCCCCCGCCTCTCGCCCTGTCAAAGTGGGATGAATGTTACCATTTTTGGACATGAGTTTTCGCACAAGCCCAGCCCTAAACCACACGTTCAAAAGTGAAGGGAGCCCTCCGTCCCACCGCTGAAGGGTGAAGGCAGGCTGGGCCAAGTGGAGGATGTGCACTGTGCCCCTCTTTCTTTCTCCCTTGACCAGAGGAGGGGGGCTGCAAGGCAGGGGCTCCTTCTCTTCCTTCACTAGCAGCAGCAGCACCACACAAGGCATCTCTCCATTTCCTCCCAACGCACCCAAACCTCTAAGGGCCCTTCCACACAGCCCTTTATCCCAGAATATCAAGGCAGAAAATCCCACATTGTGTGGACTTAGATAAAGCAGATATTGTGGGATTTTCTGGCTTGATATTGTGGGATATAGGGCTGTCGGGAATGGCCCATTCTTCAGTCCCGACTTGAGTGGAGTTTTCCTCCTCCCCGGAGGGTGCTGTTTCTTCCCTCCCTTCCAGGAGCAACACTTTCTATGAGTACCTCAGGGCCCTTCCACACATCCCTATATCCCAGAATATCAAGGCGGAAAATCCCACAATATTTGCTTTGAACTGGGTTATCTGAGTCCACACTTAGGCAATGTTGGATTGTCTGCCTTGGTATTCTGGGATATAGGACTGTGTGGATAGGCCCTGAGTCCACACTGCCATAAATTCCAGTTCAAAGCAGAAAATGTGGGTTTTTATTGTGGAAGGGGCCCCAGTCTACAATGCCCTGTGGTGCGGTATTAGCTGCCAGGGCTCCAGGCTATTTCACTTCTACTTTTACAAGGTCTTCAGGCTTCTCGGCACTTCACTACAAATTCTAGGATTCCCTTACACTATGGCAGTCCAAAGTGGTGTCAAACTGTGCTAATTCTACAGTGTAGATACACCCTGTGTAGGTCTAGTCAAAGACTTCAACAAAAGAGCCCCTTGGCTCAGGTTGGATTTGCATTGCCATATAAACTAGTTTCTGAATCCACTGCTCTATAACCCAGTACAAATCAAATAGGATCTCAGGTTGGATCTATACTGCCATGTAAACCAAATTATCAAATCAAATTATCCAGATCTGCTTTGAACTGGATTATATGAGGCCTGGGCAAATTTGGGCCCTCCAAGTGTTTTGGACTTCAACTCCCACAATTCCTAAGTGGCTGAAGGGGAATAGCAAATGGCCTGAGGCTATTAGGAATTGTGGGAGTTGAAGTCCAAAACACCCGGGGGGAGAACCCAAATTTGCCCATGCCTGATGTAGACTCATATAATCCCGTTCAAAGCAGATGTGGATTGTCTGATTTGACAGTTTGAATTATATGGCAGTGTAGATCCAAGCTGAATCCAGATTATCTGATTTGAAGTGGATGATAAACTGCCCATGCCTGGTCTACACTGAGTATGTAATAATACCAATGCAGTTTCAAACAGTGTAGATGGAGCCTTAGAAAACTATGAAATTCACAAGTGGGCAAGCGATTCGAAGGCGCAGCAGCAAAACACCGAAAGAGGGCCCTTCCACGCAGCCCTAGATCAGAAAACCCCATAATACCTGCTTTGAACTCGGTTATCTGAGTCCACACTGCCATATAATCCAGTTCAAAGCAGATAATGTGAAGTTTCCTGCCTTGATATTCTGGGATATAGGTCTGTGTGGAAAGACCCAGAGCAGGATGGTTTGGGCAGCATCTGCGTTTCACAATCTTTAGGGGGGGAAGAAAGGCGGCCAAAGCAAGAAAGTCACGGCAGGATCTGCCCACGGAGGGGGAAAACACGAGTGTCTGCCTGCCCGCCTTTTCCTTCGTTCTTTCCTTCCCTTTGGCCTCACAACTTTGTCGGGAGCCCAAATGGCATGAAGCAAGGCTCCGCGCCACGCGCCCAGGTGCCACGCGCGACGGGATGAGGCGGGGCGGGAAAAGAAGGCAGGAGAGCCCGATCCTTTGAGGAACCAAGGAGAGCCTTTCCACGCGGCTTGCCCTGATCTCCATCACGGAGGCGCCGCGAACCCGCGTGGGGAAGCCGCTTTGGCGCGGGCGCGAGTGGGAAGCCAAGCACGCGAGCGAGTCCCCCACCATCGCCGCCTCCAACCACTCCTCCTCCTCCTCGTCGTCTTCCCTTCCCTTCCCAATCCCCCCTTTCCCTCCCTCCCGGATCCGGGCTGACCTTCCTCTGCTGCTTCTCCCAGGCTGGATCCAAGAGGAGATCCCTGTCCCAGTCTTCCTCGGGCTGCATGTAGTCGTTGGTTTGCTGCGAGTCGTAATGATCCATCATTTCTTTCCCTGGCTCTTTTTTGCGCGTGTTTCTTTTCCTCCGCTGCTCTTCCTCCGTCCGCCGCCCCTGACGCGCTGCCGGTCTGGAACGCGAGTGGGAAAGGCAGCTCTCCTTCTGCCAGATCGCAGCCTAATCTTTTGCCCACACCGAGAACGAGGGAGAGAGCGAGGGAGGGAAACGCCTCCCGGCGGGGCTCATTGGCTGGGCGGAGTTGCTCAAAGTTCATTTTCGAGGGAGGTCGGGACCCCCATTGACTGGCGCGGGTGTCAATCGCAACTTTGGGCCGCTCCCATTGGTCGGTTTAAGAGCGCGCTCCCTCCTCCTCCCCCTGAAGAGCACATGTGACGTCTGGATTTCAGGTAGGGAGGGGGAGGGGAGGGGTGACGTCGCCCCGAATTGGAGGGATTGATTATGGTTAGGTCTATCTGTATAGGTGGTCACTCGTGGCTGGGTGGGATTGTCTCCCAAGGAAGGAGTCTTAGTGATGGGTCCCAAGTAGAGACCCATTCTTAGCCGGAGAGGCTGAGAAGACCAATACTGCTGGCCCTCCGTATCCGCGAACTGCATCTCTGTGGATTCAATCATCCACGGATTTAATTGTATGAAAAAAGCAAACTACTAATATATACAATTTATATATTATATTTTAGCATATCGCCATCTATCTATATATAAATGCTCTGTGCATAATGAGTACCTTAAAAACAAAAGAACCAATGAACGAAATCACACCAAATTTGGGAACAAAACGTCTCACAACACTAGGAGTGACCATCACTCAAAAATTATAATTTTGTCATTTGGGAGTTGTAGTTGCTGGGATTTATAGTTCACCTACAATCAAAGAGCATTCTGAACTCCATCAAGGATGGAATAGAACCAAACTTTGCCCACAGAACTCCCATGACTAACATAAAATATTGAAAGGGTTCGGTCGGCATTGACCTTGAGTTTGGGAGTTGTAGTTCACCTACATCCAGAGAGCACTGTGGACTCAAACAATGATGGATCTGGACCAAACTTGGCACAAGCACTCAATATGCCCAATAAAGAACACGGATGGAGTTTGGGGGAAATAGACCTTGACATTTGGGAGTTGTAGTCACTGGGATTCACAGTTCACCTATAATCAAAGAGCATTCTGAACCCCGCGAATGACAGAATCGGGGCAAACTTCCCACACTGAGCCCCCATGACCAACAGAAAATACTTCAGGCCATCCAGTCCAACTCCCTTCATCAGGGCAAGAAAACGTAATCAAAGTCCTCCTGACAAAGAGCCATCCAGCCATAGAGAGAGATAGATAGATAGATAGATAGATAGATAGATAGATAGATAGATATGATTCACACACACCACAGATATAGTATCATGGATTTGAAAGGGACCCTTAAAGAAGGACAATGATATGTTACATGTTCCAGGGTGGGCAAACCAGATACTTTCCATATCAACACTGACAAAAAAACAGTAAGAAATACTGTTTACTCACAAGCATAAAGAAATTACATATATTAGAAACCAACACTTTCAACAGACTGGCCCACAGCAACGCGTGGCAGGGGACAGCTAGTATTATTATAAAAGGTAAAGGTTTCCCCTAATATTAAGTCTAGTCCTGTCTGACTCTGGGGGGTGGTACTCTTCTCCATTTCTAAGACAAACAGCCAGCGTTGTCCATAGACACTTCCAAGGTCATGTGGTCGGCATGACTCCATTGAGCACAATAAGAATGGGTACCTGAGTTAGTAAGCTCAACAAAATAGCCCACTTATATACACAATAGAAAATAAATAAGTACAGTTAATAATATGACTGTTGAAACTTATTATGCTGTTCAAATTCACAATAATCACAAAAAATATTGTATGGATTTTGTACAATCCCTCTGAAATTGTATGAACGTTGTGTGTTCTTATGCCGAGTTGAACATGAATCAGCCCACTCCCCAGATTCGAACTGCCAACCTTTTGGTCAGCAAGTTCAACAGCTCAATGGTTTAACCCGCTGCACCATAATTAGAATCATAAAACTGGAATAAACCACAACAACCATCCAGTCCAACCATGCAGGAACACACAATCCAAGCACTCCAGACAGACAGTCATTCGGACTACACAGTGAAGCCATTGAAATCCGCAAACATGTGGACAATTTCAACAGAAAGAAGGAAACAATAAAATGATCAAAATCTGGCAACCAGTATTTAGAAAATACTCTAAAATTGGGATAGTAAATAAAGAGCAGAACTAATTTTTTTTTAAAAAAATAGGGGAATTCCAGTCAGGAAACAATCAGGGCTAGGTAACACCTCCCAACAAAGGATTCCCCCAGGCAGCAACCAGCCAGGCTTTGAAGCTGCAAGGACATTCAGTGCTAATCAAGGTGGCCAATTGCAACATTCACACTTGCCTCAAGCAGGGAAGAGTTATTTCTCCCACTCTGGACATTCCACAGATATATAAACCTCACTTGCCTAGTTTCCAACAAACCTCACAACTTCAGAGGATGCCTGACATAGATGTGGACAAAACATCAGGAGAAAATGCTTCTGGAACATGGCCATACAGCCCAGAAAACTCACAGCCACTCAATGATTCCAGCCATGAAAGCCTTCAACAACACATTCAGTCTCTGTTTAAAAAATCTCCAAAGAAGGAGACTCCATCGCACTCTGAGGCAGCAATATAATGGGATTTGAGTATCCATGGGGGGCCTGGATCCAAACCCCATTAGATACCAAGATGGTGACTCCTTGCAAGTAAGTCCCAGCTCCAAACTGTCAAAGTCCAATAAGGTATTTGTACACAGTATATTTCAAAACAAACATTTCCAATATTTTGTTTCATTTTAAATGCTTTTACCTTGGCCATCACTTCCTGTACAGACTGTAGAACCATGAATGCTACAAACATTTCTCTTTGGTATATCTGTTTATTTATCTATCGGTACTTTAAATCTATCATGTGGATTGGGAGGCATCAGAAATAACCACTAGGCCATTTTAACTGATGCTATTAACCATGTTTTATGCAAAATGTCAAGTTTGGTAAACAAGTTTTCTGCTAAATAATGAACACTGCAAGAATTCAGTACAGATTCTTTTTAACTGATATTGTAATGTTTTCAAAATATTTCTAGTTTTAGTGGATATTAAATATCCTAACAACCTCTGAGGATGCCTACCATAGATGTGGGTGAAATGTCAGGAGAGAATGCTTCTGGAACATTGCCATACAACCCAGAAAGCTCACAGCAACCGATTAAATATGTTATTTAAATGTTTATGCAGGTGCCTTTCACTCGCCTATTCTTATGGTCACAAAGATTTCCAAGGCAAGGAATTATCTGATAGTTTACCAAATTCCTTCCTCAGAAATATAGTTTTCTGGCGTTCATTGATGGTCTCCCATCCAAGTATTAACCAAGGCTGATCCTACTTAGTTTCCAAGATCAGAGATCTGGTGCCTTGATAGTATATTTTAAACTATTGAAAGGGCTTGTGGCCTAGCACGTCAAATTAATACCACACTAAAATTAACACCAGTATAGTCGATACTGGTATTAATGATGGGAGGGTTATTCGGTATAATGGTTTGGCTACAGACAAATTAGTCAATGATTTATTGTAAAAGATTCAGAGTTGGAGCAGCTAAATCAGAATTTGAAAGCTTACTGTGTTCTGATGATGGCCATGATTGCTGCAATGTATACATTACTAAAATGGAACATGTTTCCAGTTGCCCAAATGCAGTGGCTGCTTGTGGCTTCCAAGTCCTTTTGATCTTTCTCCCCCACCAACTTCTCATAGATTGTAAAGTCACTAAATTCAGGAACAAATTCTATAAATTGAATTGTCTTTTAAGTTTGCTTTCCCCCTCAATTAACAGTTTGATGGCTTTTTTGTCTGGACCAGGCATGAGGAAAAGCAGTGGCTCGTGGTTAGATCTATGTGAATAGTGAATTGCCTCTGGCATTTAGTCTGACCTTGAACCTGTTTTGCAGAGAACATTCAGCACCTTGGACAGTTCCTTGATCTTCTGAACTGAACTTTGCTGCCCTGCTTTCATGGGGTGCAAGTAGAGTAAACCCAGTACAATTAATGTAGTTTGACACTATTTTAACTGCCATAGCTCCATGCTATAGAAACATGGGAGCTGTAGTTCTACACGCTATTTAGCCATCACTGCCAAAGAGTGCTGGGGCCTCACCAAACTACAACTCCCAGGATTCCATAGCATTGAGCCATGGCAGTTAAAGTGACATCATAGTGCATTTATTCTACAAACTTCGGCCCTCCAGATGTTTTGGACTTCATCTCCCACAATTCCTAACAGCCTCAGGCTTAAGTGGCTGAAAGGGAAAAGGAAGGGGCTTGAGACAGTTGCATCTGTCAAGTATGCATGCCCAGTGTGGAACACATCTCTTGGAAGGCGCTAAACAGACTGTGCTCTCGCACCACAAGATGCAGAGGCAACCTTCAGAAATGGGGCCACAAAGTGGAATCCATGACATGCGAGTGTGGAGAAGAGCAAACCACTGACCACCTGCTGCAATGCAACCTGAGCCCTGCCACATGCACAATGGAGGACCTTCTTGCAGCAACACCAGATGCACTCCAAGTGGCCAGATACTGGTCAAAGGACATTTAATCAACTGCCGAACTCACAAATTTTGTATTTTGTCTGTTTGTTTGCTTTGTTCTGTTAGAAATGTAGTATAATTGACTGGTTGCCCTGACACGACAAAAAAAAATCTGTCAAGTAGGAAATTTAGGTACCGCTTAAGCGGGGAGGCTAATTTAACTAAATTTATGACACTATAAAAATCTCCAGCAAGCATGCAAAGAGTGAGGAAGTACTTCATTAGTGTTAGAAATGGACGGTGAAGCGACAGCTCCCCTGGTGACCAGAATCCCCTCATGAAAAAAAGGGTGGAATGTTAAGTAGCCTCTGTGCGTCTGTCTATATATGTTGTGTGTCTATGGCATTAAATTTTTGCCATGTATATGTACTCGTACATTGTAATCCACCCTGAGTCCCCTGTGGGGTGAGAAGGTTGGAATATAAATACTGTAAATAAATAAATAAAAGCAGAAAACCTGGGATCAGATCCTGGGAAATAGGACCTGTCTGGAAGGGTCCTTAATGGCTCCCAGGTTGTGAATTCCTCTC